TTCCTAAAGACCAAGATACCACAGACCCAAGCAAATACCGCTTCATAACGTGTCTACCTACCATATACAAGACACTAACATCCAATTTGAGCGCGAGGATCACTCGCCACCTTAACTCAAATGGTCGTGGAACCAAGGAACCACTCCTCATTGACGCGGTCATTGGCGAGGTGGTTAAACGCAACCGTCGGAACCTCTCCACCGCCTGGATAGACTACAAAAAGGCATTCGACTCGATGCCTCATACATTGCTGAAGAGGGTCCTCAAGCTGTACAAGGTTGAATGTACAGTTCGGAACTTCTTCGGGAAATGTATGGGGCAGTGGAGTACGATCCTTTGTCATCTATGCGAGCGGATGACGGCTACGGAGAATTACATAAGGATAAGAAGGGCTACCTTCCAGGGTGAGTATTTGAGTCCAATCTGGTTCTGCCTCTCTCTGAACCCTGTCAGTACCTTACTGGATGGTTCCGGGAAGGGATTTCATTTTCGGAAAGAAGATACAAAAGTGACCCAACTTTTCTATATGGATGATCTCAAGTTGTTCGCCTCTAATCGCTCCCATTTTATGGAATTGCTAACCATCATTTGTGATTTTAGTAATTCTATTAGAATGAAGCTGGGGACGGATAAGTGTGCGGTCCTCCATGTTGAAAGGGGTAGGGTTGTTAATTCTGAGAGCATAGACTTATCTATGCCCATCAAGATAAGGACCTTATCCGAGATTGAAACATACCGATACCTGGGTATGTCACAGAACATAGGTATCGATGAGGCGAACATGAAACAGTCAGTTTGCGATGTGTTTTATGCACGCTTGACAAAAGTGCTCAACAGTGTTTTGTCGGGCGTTATTAAGACACACGCATATAAAGTTTGGATCATGCCTGTTCTCATGTATACCTTCGGCATCAGGTGGACTCAGACCTGAACGTTCTGGATAGAAAAGTCCGCACTGTTATGACGTCACACAGGATGCATCATCCAAGATTGTCAGTAATGAGGCTATACTTGCGCGGAAATATGGTGGGCGCGGCTTTTTAAGCGCTCTCACTATGCATAATCGCGAAGTATGCAGCCTCCGTAATTACTTCCTAACTAAATCGGATAATCCATTCTATAGGGACGTCACTTCGTGTGATAAAGGGCTAACCCCTCTATCTTTAGCCAACGAGCAATGGCAAGATGCAGTAGTACAGTGCATTTCCGACCGGGAGACGGTATGGAAGGAGAAGGAGCTCCACGGGAGGTTCTACAAGGCTCTTCATGAGCCTTTCGTAGACACAGTTGTCTCCCTCCACTGGCTACGTTTTGGTGACCTCTACGGGAAAATCGAGGCTTTTGTCTGTGCAATATATAATCAGGTTAATAAGACCAACAACTATCTGAGATACATCATAAGGGATGGCACCGTCGACATCTGTCGAGCTTGTCGCCGTCCCGGTGTATCACTTAGGCATGTCATCTCTGGTTGTTTGGCGCTTTCTAACTCTGAGAACATGCACAGGCACAACCTTGTAGCCAGGATTCTACACCAGGAGTTCGCTCTGAAATACGGTCTTAGTACTTTCCGGAAGCCGTGTTCGAAAATGATCGCGCCAGGCTCTACTGGGACCGGGCCATCATCACAGACAGGACTATTCTTGCGAATAAGCCTGATATTGTGCTGATGGACCGAGCACAGTCAAGGATATTTTTGGTCGACATTACCAGTCCGTATGACGAGAACCTCGTGAAAGCCGAAACAGATAAGCGAACAAAATATCTGGACCTGGCTCACGAGGCGACCGACTTGTGGGGTGGTCTGCCGACCGAAATTATTCCTGTGGTTGTTTCTGCGAACGGGTTAATCCCAGTCAGCCTCTCAGGTCATCTGAGGGGAATGGAACTCCGTGACGAACCACTCCGGACTCAAATGCAGAAGACGGTGCTCCTCGGTACCGCCCGCATCGCTCGTTTGTTTCTTTCCCTTTCTTTCTAACCCTCGGCCGTTGGGTCTCCACTACCGTGAGCTTCCATCTGGTTGTGTTTTTATTTATTTATGTACTTTTACGTATTTATTTTATTTTATTGATAATTATGTATATTTATCATTTTCATTTACATTTATATATTTATATAGCCCAATCAGATGAGAAAACTATATAGATACCCTACAATAATAATAATACCAGAATTTTATAAAAATAGAAATATTGATAAGATAAAATAAACCAGTCTTTAATGATTATCTTAAGTCGTCAATTAGATTCCACCCAGGCGAAGCCAGAGCGGGTTGGTAGTTATTAATGTTATTTTTAATTTAATGTACCTACTAGCGAATACAAGTATTTTCAAATATTTTTGCATTAATAGAAAATTTCCAAGTAAGCGAAAAATATAACGTTATAACGATATACCGTTATTAGCGGGTTTTCGCTAATAATCCTAAACCCATTCTTTATCCGTACGGACTGTCCTCAACATTACCATCGATTCTGTTCTTGATTCCCAAGAAACACTTACAGGCGAGAATGATGAGTTAAATGATAGTAACAGTAACCGTTATGTGAATATAACTAACTTAGACAACGAAATACTTTTGATATAGATGTGAGTTTCAAGGACAGCCATATGAGAATAACTTTCTAATGTTCTCTTCTGGAATATAAAAATATACTTCAAGAAAACAGAACGAAATTACCTAAACTTCCAAACAACACAATATACTATGTAAAGATTATTTTGAGTAATTCTATTTTGGAAACTACGTCACTTCTTTATTGTTGAGCCCATGCTGTTTGTATCCTAATGAATATACCTCTCCTCTCAGTACAAAATTTTAACAAATTTAATACAGAAACTAAATAGAAACAAGGAATTCATACACGAATTGACAATGCTGGCATAATTATTGGAAAATTCATAAGCTATCAAATAGGTAACAGATGTAAAAAGAATAATAAAATAAAATCAAAAAGTTAAGAGCGGTAGAGCCACCCGGCCGCTTTTACTGTTGGACGTATAGGCCGGCTCGAGCCGGGGTGGTACCACGACCTCACAGAATACCGGCGTGAAGTGGAAGCTCTGCTACTGGCGAGTGTAGGTGGCTGGAGGCCCGATTCCCCCCCCCCCCCTCCCCCATCCCCCATAACGTGGTGGCGAAAATAAGTGTAATACTACCCCAGGAGGCTACCAGCAGCCCTAATAATGGACAATCTCTCGCTGAGCATCCACGACCAAGCTACTCCACTCCTGAGCGTAGGTGCTTAGGCTGCCTCGCGTATTCTGAGGAATAAAAAAGTTTCTGTTTCTGATCATTCCAAACCTTTTTGCACTCAGGTATAGTCATAGTATGAGGCCACTGCCAGTCCTTTGTCGACATATTAAGCGGAGTCAAATATTTTGTCATTAATAACTACGGCACTATGAATGTCTTTCTTGCCGTATTTTTTTGTAATAAAATAGGCTCTAAGGTTGTATACTTCACGATTGTGCAGGTTTTTAATATTGAGTAAACCCCGCCCACGATCTTTTCTTGGAATCTACAACCTCATAACAGATGATCGCGGGTGGTGCATTCCGTGCGTAATCATCAATGTACAGACTCGTTTATCCAAGGCATCCAATCCGTTTGAGACCATCTTGTAACACCAAAAGTATATAGAAGACTAGGTATTATCCAGGTGTTATAAGCTCTAATTTTGTTTCCGCCGGATAAATGACTTTTAATAATTTTCGTTCATCTTGACATAAATTTTTCTTTTGAACTTAATGTTTTGTTATATATTATTATTTATATTTAGTTATTCTTTTCCTTAATGTTTTGTCATAATAGCTAGAGCTTCCGCCATGCCCTAGTATTTATAAGTTTCTGTTTCAGAAAGGGTACTAAAATGTAAATCATTTGTCATTTCATTATTATATTTTGACTCTATGTTTACATATGTTTGCCTCTATTTACATGGATCACATTTATATATTCTAAATTCCAAAAAAATTTGTTAGTTTCAAATTCAATATAGATTATAAATAATACTTATTGAAAGTCACTCTTTTGTTTAATTTAGTACTGGTTCGGAAAAAAAACCTCTGTCCTGGGAAGAAGCAGCAAGAGACCCAGGGGGAAGGCTGCTTCAATTTTTTTTTAAATATTGACTAATTCTAATCCTGATGAGATGGTTGCATTAGTATATTTTTACGAACTGAAGGTTTTGTCTGTGCAATACAAGACCCACAGTCCACAACTATCGGATGGTGCGTATTTGCACATATTTAAACAAGTAGCTAGTATCATATACCAGCAGCTTGCCCTTAAATTTGATCTTACTCAACAGGAAGTTCCATATTATAAGTATGAACCAAAGCCAGTCCTTGAAAATAGAAGTGTCACTCTGTACAGAGATGGGTCAATTATTACAAACAGGTTTATCATAACAGCAAATAAACCTGACATTGACAAGACTACTACTAGATAAATATATTCGTTAACATATCTGATTGTAGATTTTGGACCTGAACAGCACTTTTACACTATTTGTCAATATGTAAGTTTTATCGGGGTTCATTTGTGTACATTTGTAAGTCAATATATACCTGGTAATTTTTTTTTTCAAATACAAAGCAATGTGTGCTTTAAAATGGTTGTTTTATTAAAAGTAGAACAACGTTATTTAGACTATTTTTCTCCAGGTTCAATCGCCGTAATCTTTTGGACAAGGCAACACTGACACAGATAATTTTTTGCACAGATTATATATATATATATATATATAGCAAGCAGATACGTTATATATTTCTATTATTATAATAGTCTGTGGTAGCAAGCTAATTTTTTATAGTTAGCTTGCTTAATGCTTATTTATCTATTGTTATTGTTTGTTGTTTGCATTGTGGGATTAGTTAAGCGAGCGAAATAAAAGATTTTCTAACTATCACGTATTAATATTTTCGTGTAGTTCATTGTTCACACGGAGAAAACTTCAAAAATCATTTCAATTATTTCTACAGTGGACACAAAATGCCAACTTGGAATCAAATTCAATCACAATTAAGGAATCCAAATAATCCTGTAGTTTTCTTCGACGTGACAGTAGGAACCACTGTAAGTTGTATTTTTCCTGTGAAATCATTTTGTTATAGTTAGTAGTTTAACTTTATTAAATATAATGTAATGTTAACCTAACCTAAAAGAGTCGTCTGTGGTAGCTTCTTTAAATTCCATGTCCATAACTTTTCACGGTTTTCAGGAAATTGGCAGGATGATTTTTGAATTATTTGCAGATGTTGTACCAAAAACTAGTGAAAATTTTAGAGAATTTTGTACCGGTGAATATAGAAGGGATGGGGTTCCATTAGGATACAAAGGGGCCACATTTCATAGGGTTATTAAAGATTTTATGATACAAGGTGGAGACTTTGTAAATGTAAGTGTTCTTATTTATATGCCGATTATGGTATACATTATTTAATTTAAACTGTAAATAATCTTTTGAACTCCTAATTTTAGGGTGATGGAACAGGAGTAATGAGTATTTATGGAGGGAGTACATTTGCAGATGAGAACTTTGCACTAAAACACGACTCACCAGGACTTCTCTCAATGGCTAACAGTGGCAAAGATACAAATGGTTGTCAATTTTTTATAACATGTGCAAAGTGTAATTTCTTAGATAATAAACATGTAGTTTTTGGAAGGGTTATAGATGGATTATTAGTCATGAGGAAAATAGAAAATGTACCTACTGGTCCTAATAACAAACCAAAAATTCCTGTAACAATATCACAGTGTGGTCAGATGTAAATAAATACCTAGTAATGTTAACTTTTATTTTTTTTCAACTATTAAGAAGCTTTGCTTCTATTGCGGGATGGCAAAAACCATATTTTTTTTAAAAATACTTAATAAATACACATACAATTTAGTAACTTTCTATCTTTTTTACAGATATGATAAATAAATTATCAACTTTTCAGAGCTTGATTTTTAAGTAGCAAATTTCTTGGCTCCATTGTTGCAGGGCCATGTCTCCTTCCAGCTTCCCTTATAAAAGCTCCTTCCATTTGTCTAGCTACTTGGTCAAAAAATAAATTTGATAATTGTGAATGGAGAGCTGATCGGAACTCAAATGATATTTGAAAATCAACCACACATGTCTGCTGCTTTCTTTTTAATCCAGGACTGAACCTCCATAAAGTTAATAAATGATGGAACAATCTGCCATCCATGCATTCTGCTTTAACTAAATATGGTTTTACTATGGTTACATTAGATGTATAACTTTCATTTATTGGTGGAAAACCAACTTTTAAGTCTGCAACAAGATGTCCAGGGCTTCTCCTTAACACAATAGATTGTTTACACCACGGTACAAACTTGTAATAATTTTCTACATCTGACACAACTTCAAACATCTGGTCCATTGAAAATCTAAAACAAATGTAAATACAACATAAGCCTACAATTTTACAATACCATAATAACATAATTTGCTAATACTATGCCCTCAATACATATTTTATTTATAATCTCATGTTTAACAAATGTTTATGTGAATGTCTAAAAGACATCTAGAAGATTCATTGGGTAATTGTAACCATAATATATACACATTAAGCACACTTCATTGAATAAACCTACCATGAGCAATTATGCAAATTTCTTGCTACTGAAGCACTAACAAAATAACAAGCTTTTATTTTTATAAAATGTTATATAATTTTAATCCTATTATGGATATGGAAAATTCATCTATCATTCATCATTTTGGCATATTATTTTATGGGATAAAACTATTCTTGCACAAACCATTGCATTTAAATTAAGGAATAAATTTATTGTTTATTTGTATTTGTTTATAAATATACATATTTATAAATATATACAAGTGTTGCACCATTTTGAAATCTTAATTAAACGGGCCAATTTTAAAACAACTTTGCGTATGGTAGTATACAACATTTTTTTAAAGACAAGGCATCAAAATTAGGTGTTAAATTTTTTTTAACCATGACTTAATTAAACTTTATGTTTTTGTACTAAACACCATATTAATTATTGGATTTGTGACTGCAATTAATAGCATAGTTATTTAGGATTACATTAAAAAAACACTGAAAAATTAAAAAATTTAGATTTTCAACATCTTCAAAAGTATACTTATTATCACTTAACCTAGTACCATAAAAAATTTTTTCCCAAGTTCCATGTAACTTTTTTTTTGATAGAACTGGTACCACCTACTTTATTGCCTCGTACCCGCTTGTTGTTGAGTTTTGGGACACCTGTATATATATATATATATATATATAAAGAATTTATATAACATATTATGTACATGTGAACAATTGAAATGTATATTATATATCAGCGAAAGTAGGTTAACACATTCATCACCACTACGATTTTCATGATGTCTTCTCGGATGCCGTCTACATTTTACGGTTGACTCGCCAGGCGAGTCGCCGGCACTGCAATATAAATTGAATCGACTCGCCACGCGAGTTCACTGGCACTAAGTAAGGGTAAATTCTATGTTTTGTAATTTTTGTGGCCGTCACAGTGTACTTACGTGTTTAACGCAATTAAAAAGTGTTTCAGGACTATTCGGCTTGTAAAAATGGCAAAAAACTCTTTGGATAAAATAAAAGGTAGTTTGTTTCGTAATTTAAGCAGTGGTTGTCAATCTTTTAAATTGTGGTTATTGTTAAGGTTATATTTTGAATTTCTAATACTTGTGAATAGACAATTTTACCATGAAATAATTTAATATATATCCTTCCCCTCGGACTCCCGAAGAGACCAGACGTGTGTGGTTTAGTTAGTTAAATATAGTTAACTTATGTTAAATTCCGACAAAATCAAATAAATAATTAGGAGTGCATAAAAGTGAAGAAGTGTTCACTAACTCTCAACACTAGTCCTACTAAATTCCCATGCAGCTGTGTGAGTAAAAGCCTTATTATTGAAGTGTTATAATTTTTTTTTGCAAATTAATAAATAGTTCAAACGAGAAAAAAACGCTTAATCATTGCGTCATTGAATAAAACAGGGATAACATAAATGAATATTGTATGCACAGGACGAGAGATCAAGTGATATAAGACGGAAAGACCTTTTGTATAAGAATCGTCGATCAACGACCAGTTGCTTGACCTCTAAGCAAATAGTAACGAAACATTGGAGCTTGCAATAAATACGTAATACCTGATTGTTTATATTGCTCTGGTACATTGTTTTAACGTCGCTTTATGATTTCTCGCTCGCCACCGCAGTCTACTTCGCAGCCGCAGAATATTGTTGCTACTAGCGCGACCGAAACCTACGTCTCGACGGCGGCCATCAACTTTACATCGCAAACACTGCCATTCAGACCCAAATATTTATTCCGATTCCGATGGCCAGCCGAACAGCTTACCGTACCAAAAGGAAGCGTGAGGATGAATTCGATACATTTAAAATTGATGTTAATAGAATGTTTAAGGAACTTATTCGAGAACAACAACAACAACAACACGCACGCACGCCCACACACATTCTTTATCTACTTTTGATTGGAAATAAACGATTATTATTATAATACGGGCTTTCAGTTTTAAGAATATGGTATGTATTATTTTTATTGTGAATATTAGTTCCATATCACAAGTATGTAGGTAGTCCATGCTACTATGTTGATGTCGTTATCTAACATGTAAATGGTTGAGGATCTATGTCAGGGAACTCGCCTAGCGAGTTCAAGGCATTGCAGAATAGTTTGTTTCCTTTCAAATTTAAACGGAGTCTCCACACCCGGCCCACCACGTAAATCTTTAGTTTAGCATATATTTAGTCTAAACTATAATTTTAAGCAGAAAATACGGATGCATTTTGGAAATATTAGTGAAAAACACTGAACTCGCCAGACGAGTCGTCGGCACTGGAATAAGATTTACGTGAACTCTCCGGGCGAGTCGGTGGTACTGAATGTGTTAAGGTGCGGCTGGGGTGTCCAGTTCAAATGTCTTAAAGGACAACTTAAAGCTGAATTTCTTACCCCCAAAGAGGGATCTCTTTAAAATTTAGGCAAATTATATTAATGAGTTCTTTAGGCTAAAAATAAATAATTTAAATATAATATTATTAAGGGCCCATTTTTTAATAAATATTTTATAAAATCTGATCTTTAGATTAGCATCCTTATTATTTATTTATTGCATTTTGCATAACATAATTTTATGCATTTTGCAAGTTTGCAACTTCATACGACAATTTTTTTTTATAAATTTATGAAGTGAAGTTTGAATTCGCCATTTTTAATGCTGAATTGTACAACGGTGGGTAGATTCTTTTATTTTTTTATGAAGATTTTCTAACACAATTGTTATTGTTTCTTGTTCAATAGTAGAAATAACTATTCTAAATTATAAAAATTATGAAAAACTATTTAGCTACTGCACAAATTTTTCACACTTACATTGTTCATCTGAAACCGCCAAAATATGCTCAACCCTTAGTCATATAAAATATTATATTATATTATACACAAAACTTTTGTTAAGATAAAAAGCATTACTTTGTTCGTTATCTTATTGTCTCCACAAAACATAACCACAATTACACTAGGCCACTCCCATCGATTGTAAATCAAGTTATAATGAAGGCATGAAGGCGGCCTCGCCGAGTGTATAATGTCAAAGCCCATGAACAAAGTTTGACATTTTTTTTTATTGAAATCAAAAGCAAGCGAGCGGATAAAAAAATGGTAAATTATTAAAGAAAGTTTTCTTGAATATATACAAAATATTGACATACTCTTTGGAATTCACGTGTTGTTAAAATATCCCTATACCATGTAACATTAATAAATTATTTTTTCTTTAATAGTCTAAAATTGATCACCATTAGGTTTTGTAATGTTACGGACAACATCCAAATTTAAATAGTTTTAGTTAATGAGAAATATAAAAAATAATTTAAAAAAATGATTTACCCAACTAACTGCCTTCCACAATATTCTCTTCTTCGACTCGGCTTAGTTAAATTAAAGAAATTTCGATTTTGTTGTCCCGAGATATGACATTGACAATGAGTGGCACGATCTCCTTCATTTCTATTTAGGTAATGACCCTGAAAACTTCAGGAAATACAAAATAAGTAATACTTACATATTTCGCGATGTAAATTTATTTAAATATTAAATACTATTCTAGATTTTAAACGTATATCAAAAATCATGAAAAAGAATTTTACCAAATTATTCTACGTAGAAAAAAATTAACATTGGAGCCCACTGAATAACCTTTAGTAAGAATCATATTTATTGTCTTTATCTTACTGGAAAATTAAATAATGTAGACATGATCACAATCAGTCCATATTTACTATTTTTAAACACTACAATCTACAACAGCAAACACTCCTATAGGAACAAATGGGAACATTAAACTAATTTAAATTGAAATATTCATTTTTTATAGAATATAGAATTGGAATGCAGGATAATATTATATTGTATTCAGTATATATAAAAGTACTCTGTGATATTGTATAATCTAATCTATGATTGGAACGTCATCACAGACTGTCACAGACAACTTTATAATTTGTGGTCACCAAAGAGTATAGTAAGGCTGGCTTTTCACTATGGGATATAATATATATTATATATCTTTTAACCAGTGTGCGTTCGTAATTGGTCATTGGATTACCCCCCTTTACCCTGTATACCGTTCTGCGGGGCACGAAACGGTATGCGGGGTACAGGGGGCGAAATATAATATGAAAATATCGCTCGGTCGATCGAAAAAATATTTATAGCTTGAGATGTAATATATATTATAGCTCAGTGTAAACAGTTCCATATGAAATGTATGGTGAGCGATACTAATTTAGATCTCGAGATGTAATATATATTATATTATATCCTATAGTGAAAAGCGGGCTTAACTGTCCTATACAGGAACCATGGAGTATCTCTATACTCCATGACAGGAACACAGAGATGAGAAGATACTGTCATACTCAGGGCTGCCAATGCCAATGTATATAATTCCCCAAAAATCCAAATAAAATTCCCCATATTTGGGGACAAAATTCTGCTGATTCCCCATAAATTTCCCTCAATATTATTTTTAACAAGTGTCAACTACTTAAATAATATTTATTTTTTAAACTTTTTTTCCATTGCACTTTTTCCATGCTTTTGATGCAAGCATTTGGCTCGAAGGATTAAAGTTGACATTGCCGCCCAATTTTTTATGCCCTCTTGTTACCATTAAAGATACTACAGTATCTGTATTTAGCCGATTACGGTTCTCTGTTTTTAAATATCGAAGTGCACTAAATTTTCTTGCGATCAATGCGTTTGAAAATGGCAGTATGAGCAACAAATACATAACAATTTTCTCGTTAACCTTTGGCATCGATGTTATCTCATAAATTTCAAACCCATGTTGATCAAAATCTAACAAAACTTGAGTTCGACACTCGCCATCCAATTTTTGTGCGATCACTTGAACATTTTTTATGAAGAAATATAAGGTCCGATGAATAGGAAAAACTGGAGTAAGTACGAAATAAAAAAGAAAAAACTTTGTACATAAACAATTTATTGTTAACCGATCCTTTAGTCCTTGTGGAAGAGAAAATCACACACACAAACAAACACTCACGCATGTCACCCAGAGGGGTAGGCAGAGACTACGGACTTCCATTTGGTGCGATCCTGATACACCTCTCTCGCCTCCTTTACATCCATACATCTACGCATACACGCTCGTCGGTTAAGGGTACTCCTAATCTGGCCCATTTTTAATGTATCGCCGATTTGGTCGATAAATCTTCGTCTAGGGCGTCCCTTCCCGACTCTGCTATTCACTTCTGAAACATAAATTTGTTTTGTCACTCTTTCCTCGTTCATTCTTTCTACATGACCGAACCACCGAAGCATTCCTTTTTTAATCTTGATCACAACGTCATCTTGCAAACCACACTTTTCTCTTATCACACTATTTCTCACCTTGTCATTCAGATTCAAGAAAATCAATAAGATGCCAAAATATTATACCTATTTCAACAATAGCTTAGCTAGAATTTTACAAATTATAATTATATTAAAGAATAACATACCACAAATCATTGAGGTCATAATCAATTTCCCTCGGACGCCAATTCACAAGTTTTATACTTTTAGTCACAGTTTTAGTATAGAGTCAGTTGAAAAATTGTATATTTGATAATTATTTGTTGTCAGCGACATTCATTATTGTAATCAGATATAGGTAGAAAAAACATCGATAAGTATTCTTGACCAGGAACTCGTCAACCCTATTGAATTTTGTTGCTTATCATATTTTTATGGTAATTTAAAGCCTAACATGTTAGTAATTACGTTTAATTAGTGTAAGTATACGTGACAGATTTTGAAGATTCTTTACTATCAAATAGTTTGAATTTTTTTATTATAAACTTAAACTGTGAATTTTACTTACGGCGAATTTTATTTCATCATTGTTACTAAAAACTTTTTTTTATATATTACTAACATGAAACATAACGAACTACACACCACACACTCTTTTTCTGGCTTAAAACTTTAAAATAGTCTTTCTTCTTTTGAGCAAAACAACGGCCATTTGCAAATTATGTATAATTTAGGTTCTGTTACACTCCATGGCGGCGCTTCAAATCACCACAAACGTTTTGTAGGGTATAGCTAGTCCAGTGGAAGTCAGTATACTCAGTTAATCTAATTGATGTGACTAGTTTTTAATAAACAGATATGATATTTTGATGATTAATACGATTAAGTGTTTAAAAATGGTGGTTTTATGTAAATACCATAATTTAAGAGGCCGGTCCTTAAGAAACGCGCAAATAGGCAGTCACGGTTTTAAAAATATTAAAGAACTGACTTCATTGAATGACACAACAAAAAAATCTCAGTTAATAGATGGGTCTACACTTTCACTGTGTGATATTTATAAAAAACATCTTGATTTTGGAGAAAAAAAATCTTCAATAATGGTAAAAACACTTAAAACGGCTTTTTCTATTTTAAATCTCTAGGCCATTTCGTTATTATTTTAGAAAATCTTTGTGGTTAAAACGTGAGATAGTAATAAAAGTATAGACAACATATTCACCATTATTCATTGTGAGTGCACGTCTGTTTGTAGCCCGATTTGACAAGTCGAGTCGATACATCTATTGTTTGACATAGCATAAGGGTGGGTCGCGAGTGTCGGACAACATTATTTTATTATTTGTATTCTTCGAGTAAGTAGACTAACTAGGTATGTGAGTTTATTATGTACCTATTGTTTTTTGTAATTATCAGAAATTAATGTACTTAATAAAATAGTAATTTACTTTAATATCTATTTCAGGTATATGGTATATGGGAAAACACAAAGAAAGTTATTAGATTTTAAAAATCTAATTAATAATGTAAACATATGAAGTGAACCACTCGGAAACTAGCTAGGCAAGCAGTCTTTTTTAGGACTTGAATTAACCACCGGTGCAGTGGGGATCCATGATCTGGACCTTGAGTGAATTGTTGATCAGTGGGTTACCCTCTGCGGAATCCACCCATTGTGATATCAATTCAGACTTTCTGGAATAGTCCTGTCTTGATTGACTCGTCCGGTGCTTTGTTGAGGTTACCATCCGATTACGATGACGTTTAGGTTATTTTAGTAATATCTTATGCCGAGGTTATTATTGCAGTGGTTAAATTTAGATCGATAACTAATATTTATAATATAGAAGTTATCTAGTCAGTTAGGCTATCTTCTAATGTTATGGCTTTTCATTAGTGCTGACAAAATAAAATACGTAACAATAACTCTGTGGTTCCCTTTAAGTGAGTTATCAAAATCAGTATACAAACGTATATAAATAATTTTACTTCAGAAAAATCAACATAAAGAACATAAGCTGCGGTGAAGTTCCTAAAGGAACTCAATCCGCAGCTAGTCGTTGCTGCTGGTGATAAGAGGGCTGGTTCTTTTCTCGCTCAAAGGCTAAGTATAGCCATTCAGCGGGGAAACGCAGCCAGCGTTCTTGGCACGATACCGCGGGGAGTCGGACTATATGATAATTAAGTTTCTTGTTTTAGTTTTTTTTTTATTATTATTATAGTTTTTAATATTGTATACATAAAAATAATCAAATTAAATTTAAATAAAATAATACTTGTAAATTGTATGTGGATTGATTACATCTTATAAAAAACAAAAACCTTAATTAACATAGGTATTTTTTATCGGTCGTTGATAAACAACCTTTAGTTTTAAATCTAAATAGTGACAAAATTTTATGTTTATTAAACTTTTCACGTTTTTAAATATGTAACTAATGAAAAAATACGGGCTCAAAATAAGTCAGTTGGCGTAAACTAGAAGACACTTTTGCGATCATTACATATTCTTTATCGAATAAAGTTTCACATGAAAGATGCATAATACATTTCTCCTACAAATAGTTGTAAGTTTGAAATTAATCACGACATTTTATACTTGAAACAACCTTTTTTTTAAATATTTTTCCCAAATCTCTAATTAGTAATAATGTGGTTTACAACATAAGTATCCAATAAAAAGTGTATTGACGGTGAAAGAATATTTACTACTCCAAATAATCTCGTGGGTGTGGTAAAAAGCAGATGGAAATCAGGAGATGGGTAACGGCATCTTCCTAACAACAACTAGTTCCAGGGAAAAAAATGCGGTTGTCAACTCGCCTGGCAAAAGTGGAAACTATGAAAAATACCCCCTTAAGAGGTTTTCCGTTGGATAGGCTTATGTTCAGTAGTTGACTTTGATAGATCGTAATGATTGAATGAACAATGTATATTTGATCTCAACATAATTTTAAAAACTGTTAGAACTCTTCAAAACATCGTCATCTACGTAGAGGAACTAATATTTTTTCTCGTTAAGCGACTTCGTAAAATGATTTATGTAAGATAATTTATAATATAAAATACATATGAACGTATTAAATATTATTAGGTATTCAAGAAGAGATATGGAATTTTCATAAACTACCAGCAATTTATTAAAATATTTTCATTATTATTTCTATTATATTTAAATTTAAAGTTTCTGAGAATAACTGTATCTAGAAAAAAATACTGGAAATAACTTCGCTTTTAGCACTAATGTTATAATAATATATAACTTTAGAGGAAAATAACTTTTATTATAACTAATTTATTATATAAACCATAACATTATACCCATTTATTTAAAGAAAACACGAATTAAGTGAATTATTTCTTCTTAGCACAAAAAATTTCCGCAATGGTTGC